AGCAGCAACAGCAGCAGCAACAGCAGCAACAGCAGCAGCAGCAGCAGCAGCAGCAGAAACAGATTTGCAAACCCTGGGAGAGACAGAGAGAGAGAGATGTGAAAGACAGAAGGAGACAAAAACAGAGACAGAGGAGACACAGACATTTAATAATAAAAAAGAAAAAGAGACAAAGACACAGATGAAGAGAGGTAAAGCAACGGAGACAGATAAGGAGACAGATAAAGAGACAGACAAGGAGACAGACAAGGAGACAGATAAGGAGAAAGATGAGGAGACAGATGAAGAGACAGATAAAGAGACAAAACGATAAAGAGGCAGATGAAGAGACAGATAAAGAGACAGACAAAGAAACAAAACGATAGAGAGACAGAGAGAAAGGGGTAAAGAGACAGACAGAGAGAGAGAGACAGAGACAGAGACAGAGAGAGGCAGAGAGAGAGAGAGACAGAGATAAAGACAAAGAGAGACAGAGAGACAGATAGAAAGAGAGAGGAGAGACGCCAGAGAGACAAATAGAAGAAAGACTATAAAAACAAACAAAAACAAACGCAAAATGAGACAGCAACGACAACAAAAACAATCAAACAAAGGAGACAAAGACAAAAGGAGACAGAGACAAAGACAAAAGGAGACAAAGACAAAAGGAGACAGAGACAAAGACAAAAGGAGACAGAAACAAAGACAAAAGGAGACAAAAGAAAAGCAAACAACAGAAAAAGCGATAAACAGAAACGAAGACAGAAACAAAAGAAGGCAAAGACAAAAGGAGACACTAAAAGAAGACAAAGACAAAAGGAGACAAAGACAAAAGGAGACAGAAACAAAAACAATCAAACAAAGGAGACAAAGACAAAAGGAGACACAATAAAGGATGACAAAGACAAAAGGAGACACAATAAAGGATGACAAAGACAAAAGGAGACACAATAAAGGATGGCAAAGACAAAAGGAGACACAATAAAGGATGACAAAGACAAAAGGAGACAAAGACAGGAGGAGACAAAGACAAAAGGAGACAGAAGAGAAGAGTAAAGAAGACGCAAAGTGTGTCAATAAGAAATCTGCGAAGGTGCAGCAGCACGGCGAAGGAGACAGAAGAAAGGTAGAGAAGGATAAGAAATAAAAAGGAGACAGCAGCAGATTGAGGTGTACAGGCAGCAGCAGATTCAGGTGTACAGGCAGCAGCAGATTGAGGTGTACAGGAAGCAAAATAAAAAGGAGACAGCAGCAGATTGAGGTGTACAGGCAGCAGCAGATTGAGGTGTACAGGCAGCAGCAGATTGAGGTGTACGTACAGCCAACAGCCCCGCCAAAGATAACAACTCGATTAACCCCTACATAAGTTGAAGTATGTCCAAAGCGAGGAGACGGTGCATCTCCTGCATGCAGAGCAGCACGAGGCACTCCCGGCAGCACTGCTGCTGCTGCTCCTCCTCCTCCTGCTGCTGCTGCTGCCGGGGCTGCTGCTGCTGCCGCTACCCCTCCTCCTCCTCCTCCTGCAGAACCTCCTGCTGCAGCTGCTGCAAACCCACCGCCCCCAGATGCAAGACCACTCATGTCGGCGCTGCTGCTGCTGCTGCTGCTGCTGCTGATGGTGCTGCTGATGCTGCTGATGCTGCTGCTGCTGCTGCTATCGCCTCACATAGGGCGGGGCTGTCTACATAAGAACCGCGATCTGCTGCTACGATATTGTTGTTACTGCTGCTGCTGCTGCTGCTGCTGCTGCTGCTGCTGCTGGACCGTTTATGCCTACGTCTTGCAGCAGCAGCGGCAGAAGCCGCTGCTGCTGCTGCTGGTGCTCCTGCTGCGCGTGAGGCTCCACTTTTCTCACTGGTGCTGCTGCTCTTGCTGCTGTGCTACTGTGTCGGTGCTGCTGCAGCTGCTGCTGCTGCTCCTGCTGCTGCTGCTGCTCCTGCTGCTGCTGCTCCTACTGCTACCGCTTCTGTTGCTGCCACTACTGCAGCGCTTCGGATACTGCTGCTCTGAATGCCCTCGGGCATTCCTATTCTAATTCTGTGTCAACAGCAGCAGCAGCAGCAGCACCAAAGGCAGCAGCAAAGACAGCAGACAGGAGACTTCTCTGCTGCTGCTGCTGTAGTGCTGCCGGGTGCTGCTGCTAAGGCAGCTGCTCCTGCTGCTCCTGTTGCTGCTGCTGCCGCTATTTCAGCACAGATATGTCCCTATGTTTGCTGCTGTCGCTGTTTGCTCCGGGCGTTCTTGCTGCTGCAGTTATTGCTGCTGTTGCCGCTGCAGTGGCTGCTACAGTTGTTGCTGCTGTTGCTGCTGCAGTTGCTGCCGCAGTTGCTGCTGCTGCCGCAAGCCAAGTGAGGGGCTGTAAATAGCAAGAGCCAGGAAAGAGAAAGAGTTGGTGTCTTGCTGCTGCTGCTGCTGAGGTGTACGTTGCTGCTGCTGCTGGTGCTGCTGCTGCTGCTGCTGGTGATGCAGGAGAAGAAGCAGCAAAGTATTCAATATAAAAACAATAAAATAGTTATAGCAGCAATGCGCAGTGAAGCAGCGGGCCCCTAAGGGGGCCCCTCCGCAGCACCAGCCGCTGCTGCTGTACAGACACCCGAGCAGCAGCAGCCGCTGCTGCTGCTGCTGCTGCTGCCTTTGCTGCTGCTGCTGCTGCTTCTAATTTTTATATAAAGAATTAAAACACAGAAACTGGCTCATCAAGAACAGCAAACTCTCAGGTGTATCTGCAGCTTCCCCGGGGTAGCTGCTCCGCGGCCTCATCTCTGTAGGCCGCTGTGCTAAACCCTAAACCCTAAACCCTAAACCCTAAACCCTCAACCCTGACTTTGCCTTCTAATTTGAGAGAGCGATCTCAACTCAAATCCGTAAACCCTAAACCCTAAACCCTCAGCAGGTTTACTCCTCAGCACTGTCTAGCCCTGTCTAAGGTTATTCTTCTCTTTGAGGCCCCCCAGTTAAACCCTAAACCCTAAACCCTAAACCCTAAACCCTCACATGGTGGGTTTCAGGGTCATTATACACGTTACACAGGGAAAAGTGATACCAAACTCTAAAGGTTCCGCTGCAGCAGCAGCAGCAGCAGTGAGTTCAACAGCAGCAGCAGCAGCAGCAACAACAACAACAGCAACAGCAGCAACAGGAAGAGCTGCATCCGGAGAACTGGCAGCAGCAGCAGCACCGCCAGATGCTGCTACCTGACTTTGCTGCGGCTGCTGTACGCTGCAGCAGCAGGGATCAGCAGCAACACGAGCAGCAGCAGCAACAGAAGCAGCAGCAGCAGCATTATCCATCGCCTTACTAGCTAGAGGGATCTCATTATCAGCAGAAGGTGCAGCAGCAACAGCAGCAGCAGCAGCAGGAGCAGGATTAGGAGCAGCAGCAACAGCAGCATTAGGAGGACTATGGCAGTGTCTCCTGTGGGGCCGTTGCAGCGGCCTCAAGTGCTGCAGCAGCTGCAGCAGCAGCAGCAGCAGCAGCAGCAGGGTGCTTATGGAGAAGGAGGAGGGTCTACTACTTGTGCTTTACTCCCAGGGACATTCTCTTTATTAGTTGCGATGCTGCTGTATTCGCTGCAGCAGTTTTTACTCATATCTTTGTTATATGTACAGACAGGCAGTTGTCTTGTCTTTCTTTTTCTTTGCTGGGATGTACCCCTCCGTAAGAAACCCTAAACCCTAAACCCTAAACCCTTAACAAACTATACACTTGCTCTGCGCCACGGGGCTAGACGGTAGAGGAAGGTCTAGGGTTTAGAGTTTAGAGTTTAGGGTTTAGAGTTTAGGGTTTAGGGTTTAGGGCTTAGGGTTTAGAGTTTAGGGTTTAGGGTTTAGGGTTTAGGCACAACCTCATCAGCTGTCTGTTTTAAAAACACTCCAATGGCTGTATCTTGTCCTGCTGCTGCTGCTGCTGCTGCTGCTGCTGCTGCTGCTGCTGGTTCTTCTACTACTGCTGCTCTTCATTGTTCGTAGCTGTCTTCTTGTTGCTGTCTCCTTCTGTCTCTTTATTGCTGTCTCCTTTTGTCTTTGTGTCTTGTGTTGTATTTAACCTTTCAGTGTTATTTATGTCTTTAAGTTTGTCTCCTTCTGTCTCCTCTTCATCTTCTCCTTCTGCACGCTGCGCTGTACATTGGATGGCCTACATAATGACATTTAGTAAGACAGCAATTTTTTTCTTATTTGTTTGTTTTATTATAAATATATTTATATAACAAACATATTTTATTATTAATGTAATTCTATAGGCAATTCTATTGCATTACATATATGTATATAATATTTATATATCTGTTTTATTGTTTTCTTTAATTTGTTTGTTTTATTATAAATATATTTTAATAATAAACATATTTTATTATTAATGTATTTTAAGGTACAATGTATTATGTATAATATATATATATATGCATGTATATATATAATATATATACCTATATATATATATATATGTATATATAATATATTTATACATATATATATTATATTTGATTATGCTGGTTTTATTATACATTTCTTTTTAAGAATTAATTAATATATGTATACACTTGTATTTTATTATTCTCTCTTAGACATGCTTGTTTTATTATAAAGATAATTATATAATATATATATATATATATAAATATATAACTATATAGATATATAAATATATATATATACATAAGTATATATAAATATATATATATATATATGTGCGCATATAAATCGAATAGTGTATTTTACTATAATTATATTATAGTAGGTAAATTTATTTTTATATTTAAATAAAAATAAATAAATAAATAAATAAATAAATAAATAAATAAATAAATAAATAAATAAATAAATAGATAAATAAATAAATAAATGTATATATATATATATATATATTTATATCTTCTACAATATTTGTCTTTAATGAGAAGATGATATGTCTCTGTCTGCGTCTGTGTCTCTGTTTGTATTTATTTAATTGTATTAATTTGTTTAATATCTATTTGTCTCTCTTTGTCTCCTTTTGTCTGCATTTATTGTTTAGGTGTAAAGATGAGCTTAGTCGCCTTCTGTAGAGACAAGCCTGCGGCTCTGTCTCCTCAGTGGGGATATCCTCAGTTGGGTGCTCTTGAAGCAGCAGGAGACAGCAGCAGCAGCAGCAGCAGCGGCGGCGGCGGCTCAGATAACCTTTTTTCTGCTAATCTTATCTTCAGTATGTTTATTATTATTATTATTATTATTATTGTTCTTGTTGTTGTTGTTGTTGTTGTTGTTGTTGTTGTTGTTGTTGTTGTTGCTCTGTCGATTGCTGTCTTGTCTTTTATTTTTTTATTTTTTTAATCTGTGTCTCTTTTCTTCTGTCTCCTCTGTCTTTGTCTTCTTTACTTCTTACTGTCTCCTTTCGTCTTTATTTGTCTCCTCTTGTCTCCTTATTCGCCGCATGCATGCAGATTATCGTTTGCTTGTTTATCTTTAATTTATTTATATTCTTTTTTATATTTTTATAAAATGTATGTCTTTGTTGTGCTTGTGTATTTATTATTATACATGTGCGTGGATGTCTGTACGCATGTACGTGTATATATACATATATATATGTATACATATATATATGTATATATATATATATATATTATATATACATATATATAATATATGTATATATACATATATATATACATTTATATATGTGTGCGTATATTTATGCCCATAGATAATTATATATGTGTGTGTGTGAATGTATCTAAGCTTTATATATATATATATACATATATATGTTAATTAAAGCTTTATTTGTTTATTTTGTGTGTTTAATATTTCTTTTTTGTTTGCTTTGTTCAGAGGAAATAAACTGTGACGCGTTAGCCTGCATTGGGGTGTACTTGCTGCCTGTGCTGTATGTTGTATTTACTTCAAGAGCAAGAAGCTGCATACATTCTTCTACTCAAGAAACTGTCTCCTTAGAGACAGCACTGCAGGGAGATCTGTCTCTTAGCCTCGCTCTGGACTTTCTTGATATCACCATCATGTTTAATGATGCTTTGGGTTTGTCTCCTTTTGTCTCCTCCTGTCTCCTTTTGTCTCTTTCTTTTTCTCTCTCTGTCTCCTTTTGTCTCCTCCTGTCTCCTCTTGTCTCTTTCTTTTTCTGTCTCTGTCTCCTTTTGCCTCTGTCTCCCTTTGCCTCTGTCTCCTTTTGTCTCTTTCTTTTTCTGTCTCTGTCTCCTTTTGTCTCTGTCTCTTTTTGTCTCCGTTTGTCTCTGTCTCCTTTTGTCTTTGTCTCTTTTTGTCTCCTTTTGTCTCTGTCTCCTTTTGTCTCTTTCTTTTTCTGTCTCCTTTTGTCTCTGTCCTTTTTCTCTCCTTTGTTTATTTCTTTTTTGCTTCTTCTGTCTCTCTTTCTGTCTCCTTTTGTCTTTTTCTGTCTCCTTTTGTCTCTGTCTTTTTGTGTCTCTCTGTCTCCTTTTGTCTTCTTTTGTCTCCTTTTGTCTTTTTCTGTCTCCTTGTGTCTCCTATTTTCATCATTTTATTCTTTTGATTTACATATCTATTGATTACTTTATACATTTATTTAAACATTTATTATCTATCTATTTATTTATATATTCATATATGTATATCTTCTTTTATTTATTTTATTTGATGACAAATAAATAAATATATAAATATATATATATATATGTTAATTAGCTTATTATCAATTTCTTTATTTTATTTATATATTTATTCATTTAAGCTATTAGCTAAATAATAAATAAATATAAATATATATATATATATATATATATATTTATATATATTTATATATGTGTGTGTGTGTGTGTGTTTGTTAGAGAGAGACAGAGCATCAGTAGGCACTCTAACTGCGGGTCAATCACCAGAGTCTTGGGTGTGCTTCTTTGTGCTTGTCTTGTGTATAAGTACAGTAATTAGTTTAGGTTTAGCATTTCCTTCAAGACAGCAGCAAGAAGAAGAAGGCGAGGAGCAAGCAGATATATTTTTATCTGCTAAGTACGAGTTTCTTATAGGTTTGCTGCTCTTAGATATCCCCTTTCTGTTAATACGTGTATACTGGATGTCAATTACACCTCATAAATTGCTGCTCTTTGTCTTTAAAAATATATTTACTATATTTTCACGACCTCTTCGTCTTAATCAATGCAGATTAGCAGAAAGAGAGAGAGCAAAAGGAACACAAAAAAATATATATGAGAAACCGACTTATTCGCTGTTCACCCCACAGCAGCAGCAGCAGCAGCAGCAGCAGCAACAGCAGCAGCAGCAAACAAATGCTCAGGGATCACAGAATGAGCATCCAAATGCACTCAACTACCAGCAACAAAAACAACACTCGCAGCAGCAGCAACAATTAGGAGGAGCAGCAGCAGCAACTGCTGCTGCTGCTGCTGCTGTTGGTCGAGGAGTACTGGAGAATATACAGCGCCTGAGGCAGCGCGGCAGTTTGCTGCGTCACCGTCAAACACCAGCAGCAGCACAAGCCGGAGCAGCAGAAGCAGCAGCAGCAGCAGCAGCAGCAGCAGCTGACCGGGATCGGGATCGGGATCGGGAGAGCATTTCCTTGTATGAAGGATGCGAGTTAGGAGAGTCAGTTTTGCTTCCTAGCAGCAGCACAACAACAGGTGTTTATCGTTCAAGTTATTCGCTGGGGATAAATGAAGAAGCCCCGCTTAAACTTCATTCTGCTGCTTCTTGCATGCGAGGGTTTGCTGCACTGTCCCGGAAGCAGAGACGTTTTGTTAAAGGTCTTCAGGTGTATAGGCATCTCCCTGTTCGAGGCCCTGGCTGCTGCAGAGTGCTTGGGCGTCTCCTAGCTATTATTTTTAGTTTTAGAGGGACGAATTTGTCTTCAGTCGTTGATGGTGTTGCTTATCTTTCCTATGCGCAGCAGCTGCGTCTTGCTGCTGCATCGCTGCTGCAAGACATCATTCATTTGCTGCTCATTCTCCTAGGCTTCGGATCCTTTATCTTCACCCAGCAGCAGCAGCAGCAGCAGCAGCAGCCGCTGGGAGAGTTCTTTCCTGTCACGCCGTGGGAGGAGCTTAACGGAAGAGACAAAGGATTGCTGCTGCTGTGGGGTGTATCTGCTGCTGCTTGCTGCATTACTTTCATCGGTGCTGCTCCTTTCTTCGACTGTCTCCTTTCTGCTATTTGTTTTGCTGTTCATCAGCTGTCTCGCCTGCTGCTGTATAGAGAATTAGGGTTTTTTTATCTCTCGAACGGTGGTGCTGCGACAGCAAGTGCAGAAGCAGCAGCAGCAACAGCTGCTGCTGCAAGTGCAGCAGGAAGCCCAGCTGCAGGTGCAGCAGCAACAGCAGCAGCAGCAGCAAAAGCAGCAGCAGCAGGACAACTACTCGGGATTCAGCCGAAGCATGCTGTGGGGCTGCTGCTAGGTGTATCCTTTCTATATAAACCCTTCACCAATCTCTTCTCTTTGTCTTTGCTGCTGCTGCAGTGTCTCTGCGACAAGCGATATTACACCTGCAAAAGAGATAAATACGTACTCAGTCAGCTAAACCCTAAACCCTAAACCCTTAAAAGGCTTTATATAAACCCTAAACCCTAAACCCTTAAAAGGCTTTATATAAACCCTAAACCCTAAAACTTTAATATACACCCTAAACCCTTAAAATGCTACATATAAACCCTAAACCCTTGAAATGCTACATATAAACCCTAAAAACCCTAAACCCTAAAACAATTGCATATACACCGTATTGTCTGTGGCTGTTGCTGAGGTGTATTGCTAAAGATGCTTTTGTTGATATGTATGATCAAATTAAAGTATATGAATGGTAGTAGTACTCATTTATATATCGTATGTATATTATATTTTTATTGTATATATATAATATATATATTTATCTTTATATATATATATATATATATGGACAGTAATAGTAAATAAATGTATATAAGATATATATAAAATAAGCATATACACATACATATATAATAATATATTTATTCGTGTATATACTTAATATTAAATATAAAATATAGATATATGAATTGTCGAGTGCGTATAAACAAAGAAGATGAAGAGTATGATTAGAGTTGTTTTAGATGCATGCATGCATGCATGCATGCATATGTTTTTGTTTGTGTGTACAGAGAGCATCGGGGCTGGCTTTGTTTCTAATGCCGCTTCAATAAGCAATGTAGTAATATTTTCTTTATGCAGGAAGGGGATGTCCCCAATATCAATGCATGCATTATTAATAGGAGAAGACTGTATTAAGAGTTTCCGTATGTGTTATGAACTATTAGAATGTCTTTGGTTGGATTTACTTTTAGGGTGTATATTGAGGTTATTTGCGGTGTCTGTACACCTCAGCTGGCTATCATTTGGTGTTTATTGCATGCATGCATTATTGGGGCTTTGTTATTTACTTCTTTCACAAATTGTTAGGGTTTTATCTCTAAGAAGACAAGAAATAAAAAAACTTCTTTCGTCTCTTGTTGCTTCAAGACCTGACGATTTAAAAGTAATTAGAGACGATGACACAGATGATGAAGGGTTAAGCCCTGCAGACAAGCCCCAAAAAAATAAACAATATGCTTTCTTTACGCTTGCAGATCTAAGCGAATATTATGCTAGAGACGGTTTTATATCTTCTCCTGGTTCTGTCTTCCCATCTATTATATAAATTTTTAATCTATTTATCTCTATTACAATTAATGCGTGCATCCATCACCAAACAAAATAACTAATTAACAAATTAAACCTTTCATTAGAAAGATAATACACATCCTATATATACTCCACAGACACCAACTGCTGCTGCAGTTGCTGCTGCTGCCTCTGCTGCAGCTGCAGTTGCTGCTGCTGCAGTTGCTCCTGCTGCTGCTTCTGCTGCAGCTGCAGTTGCTGCTGCTGCAGTTGCTGCTGCTTCTGCTGCTACATGTTTTTTGTTTTGCATGGACAGCAAACCTGAGGGATATACTTAGAGGGTTTTTGTCTTTGTTGAGGTGTACGTACACCTCAATGGAGGGACTTTTAAAGATTCTTTTACTTTCTTTTTTCTGCATCTGCTGCTGCTAACAAACAAATTATTAACCAACATATCTCATAAACATTTATAAACATTTACTGCTTTTTAATGTTTATACTAAGTAGACATATATACACATGCACATATGTAGTTATATATTCTACATGCATATAAATATATATATATATATACATATATATATATATATATGTATATATATACATATATATTATAAATAGAATATAAAATAAGCAGTATAATTACATAATAATTTGTAGGAATGCACATTGATAAAAACTAAACCGGTGTAAACTTCAACCCTATTCTTTTCTAAGATATATATATATATATATATATGTTAATACAGGAATATATATATTAATATATATATATATATATATGTATATACGTATATATATAATATATATACAGGTGATATTATTCAAATATGTTTGGTGTGTAGTATTAGTGGCTTGTAATATACACTGCAAGTATTGCGATTATATAAATAATATATATATTGTTTATAGTATGATATAATCAATATCTATGTTTATGTAGCTATATAATCTTAATAAACTCTATCTTTGTTATTACCTTAATAGAATATATATGTTTAAATTAGTTGTAAATTATTATATAAGTTGTTTGAGTTAGTTTAAAGATAAATTTGCTGCGTTTGTATGCCGATTTTATAATACAAACAGCGGCAATTGCTTTGATTATTATATTATTATAGTAATATTAGTATGATAATATAATAATAATGTGTTATGAATATATCGTATTATTATAATATAATATTATAATATTATAATAATCTTGTATTATTGTTAGGTTATGATAACATAATAGGGTTTATACGCAGTCTTACACAATTGAAATATGTCCTGCCTGCGTTATTCTTTAATTTATATATATGCATATATATATGAATATATATATATA